TGGATCCTCCAGCCTGACCTTCACCTCCGCTCTCTGGGGTCAGATGTTTTTCCTGAACAAGATGACCCCTCGACCCCAAATCGGAGCCTGACCCATCGAGGAGCCACAGGCCAGACGGTGCGTCCACATCATACGACTGGTTGAGAGATGGCAGGTGGGTGGAGTCGTGACCCTCTACGGCCATCTCATTCCTCCCTTCCACTGGATGGTTACTGGTATCTGAAAGCACCGAGACATTACGTGGAGCCGTGCTTTCAGATGGACCGTTTCTGAATATGTCTGGAATTCGCAGTCGCTGTGCTGCAGAGAGGATGCATTTAGGTGGGGGCTGCTGCTGTCTACTGCCGCCATGCTGTCCGTAACTCTTTGTAAGGCCTTGTTTGCATGTCCCTTTTTCCTTTCCTCTCTCTGTAGCAATGGGTTTGACAAGACTGAGCTCGCTTAAGTGTCCCGGCTCGGTTCCTTTTACCTCCACTATGACAGGAACATTGTTCATGTCACTGATGCTTGGTTCAGGTTTTGTATCTTCATGCAGGTTCTTGTAATTGTCCAATGATTGTCCCCTCGGCCGCTCTCTGTACCTTTGGTCTTCCTCCGCATCATTGCTATCGTCATCTTCCCTGAGTTCGTCCTCCCAATTGTGACAATCACTTTGATGAAGCTGCACATGTTCATTTTTAATTTGCTCAGAGTGCTTGAAGCCCTCAAAACTGAGCTCACTTTGCGCGTTGCTCTCAGTTTGGCTGTTATTCCCCAAGTTTTCTGTCAACGTGGACTCCAGATCCGAGATCAGTACTTTCAGACTGGACAGGTTGGACTCAAGCTGATCTATGTGCTGTGAACTCTTGGTTAGAACACCTGTTACATCACCTTCAACAGTGAGGTTCACCGTGGAAGAAAGTGCTATGGGACTGTTTTGATGCCCCAGGTTAACTTCTTCAACCTTGTGGTCTTCATTCAAACCAGTACTGACTAAAATGCTCCTCTTTGAGGTCTCAGTCACATAAACAGCTTCTCCATCTTGGATACTGCCTTTGCTTTTGCAGTGAACAGGACTCCTACAGAAATTAGGGGTTGGGATAGTGTGATATTTCCCTATTCCTTTATGAAAAGCGGTGGGACAGGTGGTCAGGTAAAAGGCTTCCTGAATAGGTGAGGCTTCTGTCGACATGGGCTGTTGCTGGGGGAAGGCGCTGATTTGTTTCGGCTCTGTTATGATCTCTTGGGAAAGGTTCAGCTTATTATTTTTGGTTGTTTCTTCCTCAACACTAGTCATTTCCTTTGTTTTTCCATCTCCTGTTAAATGTGTGCTTTCAGATTTAGAGTTTGCCTTTTTCCCCAAAAAGTCACTCTTAATCATACTCTCATTTTCCCAAGATTTCTTTGGTGGAGTTTCCACTGACCGTATAAAAGTGCCTGTCTTCTCTTTAGTTTTCTTCCCCTCTGCAGTAACTGTGCCCTTGTAAGGGAACTCGTCATTCTCCTTATCAGAGAGGTTCTGCTCCTCTGTCCTTGCTCTTGGCTGTTCTTGGGTCCTCTCCTGGATTTTAGTGTTTTTGGCTTGGTTCCTAAGCATCCGCTGGCGCCGCCGGTACTCCTGAGATTTCTTTAGCAAAGCCTGCAGGCTCAGACGATAAGGCTCCTCAGATGGCCCTGCTTCATCTACATCGTTGCTTAGAGGTTCTGTTTCTGTGGGGTTGTGTTGAATATGCAGTTCTGCTGTGGGACAGTGACTGCTCATTGTCTGTGATAACTCTGGATTGTCTGAAAAGCCACTGTTTTCTGATGAAGGGACTGAGCCTTCAATTTGGTCCAAATTGTGATCTTCGTCAAAGTCAAGTACTGTAGTAACAGGAAGGTTATCTTCACCCTCTGTGCTGTCCTCGTGATTGCTTTTAGATCGCTCTACTGGTAAAGGGTCACACATGACTGATTCCTCCTGGCATGAGGAGAAACTTGCGTCTTTTACCACAATAAAGTCATTACAAAAGGATGATTCCAATCCACTCCTTTCTAACTCATCTCCATCTATAGGGGGATGGCTAATAATATCTGGCATCTTGGTGATTGTGTTTGAGGTGTTGTAAAGGAAAAAGCCAGGCATATTATAAGCTCCCTTTGAGGAGCCAAAGCCATGGCTCTCTCTCCCTGCATCGATCCTTCCAGAGACACTGGCGGTGTTTTCAATGTTCTCAAAGGTCACGTATCCTGAGGATTCTGATTGGTGGCACGCATTATTAAGGGGATTTGGCTGGGATCCCTGTTGGCTGTAATGTTGGTCAATAAGGCATTCTTCCTGGTAACTTTGCAGAGGTGTCACATTAGAGGCGTAAAAGGCACAATATGTAGTTGATGTGAAAGGAGGAAGAGAAACACTATCTTTTTCTTTCCTTTCAGGTGGAGGCGAGAGCGAAAGACTATCCTTTGTCACCATGAAATAACTGCTCTGTGGCACCGATCCACCGCTGGTGTTATGGGAATATGAAGACTTTGAGTTAACCTCTGACTCTTGAAGCAACTCCTCCAGTGTTGGCGTGTTCCTCAGCTAAGAGGAAACAATAACAAATATCAGATCAGAGAAGAAGTGTTTCCACATGTGGTCAACAAGCGCTGCACAATATGGTAAAAAACATATTGCAATTATATTGACAGATATTGCGATAATTCATGATTCAGAGGAATGGTTTTTCATGATTTTTGCGTCTCATTTTTCATTTCCACTAAAAAAAAACAATTAAAATCATGATGATGTGACATTTATTGGGGTCTGTAACAAACAAACATTTTCTTTTTTTAGAGCTGGAGAGGATTTGTAGGCCAGTGCATTTCTGCAGCAGCACTGCAGTACTTCATTATAATGCTGCACACATTTTACCTTTATCAAAAAATTGGCCATATTGCCATTTCAAATAATTGTGCAGCCCTACAAATCACTGCATGAAAGACAATAATGTCTGATGACCACTCTATTCATTCAAAAGAACTAGTGTATGTCTGTGTAGACTAAGCTCTGCAGTAATGTAGGAATACTAATATATGAACATATTTAGGTCATCAGGAGGACAGCTGATGAGTCCGGACTTATATTACCTGAACACTGTGTAGGATAGTTTGCACGTAGGCCATTCTTGCATCATCCTGCAGCTTTCTGTGGACAGCAGCTTTCTGTGCTGCATCTCTGTGTCGCTGCATCTCCTCTCTCTGCTCCTCTGAAAGCTGTTATCATCACAAAGCAGACATAGGGTGTCAGGCATGGTCAATAACAGGGCTGGCACTAATGATTATACTCATTATAGATTATTCTGTTCTTTAAGTTTCAGTAAAATGTACAATGATTGAACAACAGAGCAGCAAACTTAACATGTGATCAGCTGTAGCATTTGTGTTGTCTGCTGACTGTTAGTATGAACCCTACTCCACAAACACACAGCACAGTAACCTTACTACAACCATATACACAGCAAAGAGACAGCGGGGTGGTGAGCTCGCAAGGTTAACAACCACAATCACGATGTTTAACAGCATTATCCTCAAACTGAGCTCCTACCAGGGGAGGAAGGACGGGGTGTCCATAGAAGCGAATGAGAGAGGATACCGGTGAAGGTTTGTTGTGTTGTTGTTCCTCCTCCTCCTCCTCCTCCTCACTGCTCCTCAGACGGGAGAGACAACGCTGCACAAACTTGTCGTAGTCCTCCATCAAGTTGCATCAGGACACGGTAGGTAAGTTAGTAACGATGGATAGTTGTTGTTTTTGCTAACGTTAGCTGCTGAGCTGTGATCCTAGCTAGCTAACGGGTTAGCTGTGGTCGCTCCGGTTGGCGTTAAACACCAAACTACCGGTAAAGTTAATAGCTATTGTTAGAAGAAGTATGAGAAGCTAAAGTTGAGCCGCTCTGCAGTGTTACTTCTGATAAAACAGCAACACAATATAGTCTAGCAAGCTACCAAAGAAACGATCTCCATCAGGATGGGTCAGTGTTTACATTTTTACCCGCCTCTCCTCCCGGAGCAACGGACGGCGACAGTTGGGAAACCGTGGAAACCCCGGAGTGGATCCTCAGCACGGACCTGGATTTATCTCATTAAACAAGGAATATACCAATTTAAAACACAACGTGCAACTTTAATTCACAAAGAATAACATCACATTAGCTAAACAGATACAATCTACTCCTCTTTGTCTACAGACATTGGTGCGACGCTTGTCTTAATAACGATTAATGATTAATTAACGCTCCGTGTTTTCACCGGATCCAGACTGATGGGCCGAGGGGAGCTGATGATAACTGGATACTGCCACCTACAGACTGGACTGGATGGAGAAAGACATGAACAAATGTGTTATTATACTTTAAATAATACATATTATTCTAAACTAATTTAGTTCAAATTGCAGTACTAATAATAATAATGATAATAATAATGCAGTAATAATAGGCATATATATACCTATTATTCTATTCCATTCTATTATATGCTGTATTAATAAAAGAAAGGAGGGGGAAACACATGTTAAACCACAGCAACATAGACTTGAAGTTTTGAGTTTAATTGCAAAAAAAAATTTGTATTCTTGCTGTAAATAGGCTGTCAGGAGGATGACATTTTTCAAATTTGTTGTTAAAATGTTTAAAAGACTTCACTTACTGTAAGGTAGATTGTTTCATTCAATGTATATAATTTATTGAACATGATAAACATGTGCAACTGTTGGCTACCTACTGCTCCCCATATTGAGGCACTATATATTTATATGCATGCTTTCATGAAAAGAAGAAAGAAAACAATAATGACAGTAATTAGTCTTTTTTAGCCAGTAGGGATTATATTAATTTGTTGAATTAATTTAAAATATCCTATATCTGCTTAAAAATACCCTCTTATTAATATTTAATTTTTAGTTCAACACCGTGTTAATAACAATAACAATATGCTAACAAACTTTAAAATAATTTAAATATTATTCCTGTTGCAAAAAACACAAGACAGACAAAAAGCTGTTCCATTTCAAAACATGTTTATTGGTCATATACAAAATAAAGTAAGCTGTTTATCAACAAACATACACTATATACATCAATAAATTAAGAGATGCGTCGGACAGATGATGAAACAGTTAATTTCATGATTACCAATACCTTGTCATCATCACTTACGTATCTACAAATTGCAAAAAAAAGGTACAATAATTTAGTTGAAGATAAATACTTACAAAGACTGTCACATTTTAAGTATTTTCCCATAGAAAGTACTGTTGTAGAATAATGTATTACACCCCATACAGAAATATTACAAAACACAGAATGTTCTATTACAAGGGCTTTTCTGAATAGGCTACGCCATATTCACACAAACGCACTACTTTTTTATAGCTTTAAACTGACCATTATATACTTTTAGAAACACAAAAATATCCCAGCTCCCATGAATAACCTGGCCGAATGTTCACCAGCAGACACGTGTGTTGTTTTTTAAATCATGAGTCAAATTAAAAAGGTGGACAGTTACAATAAAAACTAAAAATATGATACCCAAACTCTGGGTAAAAATGTCATGTTAGAGACTGAACAACTGATAAGGGCAGGGGCAGCATAGAGAGTAAGAGAGAGCAGCATAAGGAACGGGGGGGGGATAACCTGGGAGGCAAAACAAACATTATTATTGATGAAAACACCAAACAAACGATCAAAGAAATCCTTGGTTCATTTACTCTCATCGATCGGCATTGGCGGTGGATGAAAGGGCTTTTAGAGTCCAGTGGCGTGATTCACTAGACAGGAAAACAACTGAATGACTACATACCGATTGGCCAAGCAGCAAGATAAGGAGTTAATGATTTGCTTCTTCTAGAAGAATCGGAAGTTTTGAAGAAGGGCTTGGAAGCCTCCTGAGTTAACTTGCTGACACTTTGTATACAGGAATAGGATAAGTGGAGTGGGACATGGTTGAGAGTTTTATCAGATGTGTCTCCACCACTCCTTTCTGCCGCTGTAAAATATTTATAGATCAGGAGTAGTTCCATTGGGTTTGTGATGAAATGTCTTTTCATAAGGAGGGTACGACCCCTGTACAGGCAGTGGAAAATAAGGTCAGCATGTCTTACAAGCTCTTAAACTCTGTTATGAAAAGCCACAAAGCTGCCCTGTCTGATAATCACTAAAGGTCACTGTTGTCAGCTGATCATGTGTGCTGAGTGAAAATGAGGAAGAAACTGTAATGTTTCACCTCATTTGTTTAGAGACCTAACATCCTGATCCCACTACAACCACAAGATATTCAATCCTGGAAGACAAAATAATGGTACTCTTCAGCTTGACTGCAGGCTTTGCATGACAGCCACAGTATATTTTGCATTCAGTCTTTTTCTCAGTTGGTAATTGATAAAACATAATGGGTGTTTTCATGTTTTCACAGTTAATTGTCAAGTGACACTGAAAAAGCAATGTGAGCCACATAACACATAACTAAGATTAAAACAGAGACAAACTGGCACTGTCATTTAAAACCAAGTATACACTGCTAAACACTCTGTGTATAAACTCTCTAACCTTGTCACATCACACTGTACCTGCAATTATAAAACTGACAGCTTGACATGACAACTACAATAGCATGTGGCAGGAGGTCTAATTTTGCCCTACACAGTTTGCATAATTAGAGATGTCTATTAAACAGCAGCCACCATGTTAACACATTTATGTTCATACAGTGTGCATCATTTTTAAACAAGAGGAGCATAAAAATACAGACTGGGTGGGATTGTTTGACAGTGGCACATACAGTACGTATATTTTGACAAGCACTGAGAAGCTTCAACTTGACACGACCTAATCTTAGCTTCCTATTTTATACGTGACCACACACACACACACCACACAGGACTTGCCAGCAAAAAAAACCAAAAACATCATTTAACAAGCAAGTGTAAAGACAGACAGGAAGCAACAGAGTGACGGAGAGAAAGAATATATGAAAAAAAGAAGTAGAAAATCAAATAATATATAAAACAGGACCATTTAAAAAAATATATAGATCACATACATAAATATACCGGGTGATATCTGCTTTTAGCTGAATACCATGGAGTATAATCCTGTGATAAGACATTTAAAAAATTGTATCGGACATTTTCATTTGACATTTGTAGCTCTCTGATTTCACAGTTGACTGAACGTGCAAATAGTTATCAGGCTAAAGATAATGGAGAAATAATATTTTAAAACCTCACACCCATTCCCTTCCAATGCCTTTGCACATTGCTCACCTGTTTGAATTTTATTTTATATGAATGTAGGGTACAAATGAAGGCATATCTTGCTTATCTTAATAACTGCACAGCAGTAGGCTAGCTAACCCCTTTTTACTTCACAGTGGAAAAGTAGCGGTTCAGGTAAAAGGCTGCATGTTTGTACTGTTTTTTTTAACCATTGTAATTTCTTTTCCATTTCAGTAAATAACTCAATTTAAATTAGGTTTTCATTTGTTGAAAAACTGTTTGAGGCAATTGTACTTTATAAAGTAAACCTAAGTCTTTGACAAACCATTAAATAGCAGAAAACACCTTTTCACTTAATAAAACACCAAATACATAAACAAATTAGCTTCACTTCCCTGACACATACAGAACAGTTCGCAAACAAAACAAAACAGAAACAACATTATACATACATAACTGTATAAAATGTATACAGCAAAAACAAACATCTTTATCACACACTGCAAAAATAACTTAGGGGTGATGCCGCCATTTAGGCCCATTGTTGAGTTCCACATCTCTTTTACCTCCACAGATGACCCAAATACACAATATAGTGAGGCTTGTGAGGTTAACCATGACACCTCCTCATCTCATCAGTCATTTTATCTGCAATAACAAGCTTTGAACGCTGCAAGGGCCAAAAGAAAGCCACAAAGGCCTGTTCAACTACACGGAAAATGGGTCTGCCAAAGTGAACTTAAAATTACAAATCATGAGAGCAGAGTACAAGCGGATAAAACACACGATCTAACACGACTGCAGTGCTGGAGCTGAATGATCGGGCCGGGAGAGCAAAGATTTTGTGATTAGAGAAAATTAGAGTTACCCACGGTGTCATCACCCGCTTCGGCCTGAAATCAAATAAGGATCAAAGTCAAAACCATGAAATAGTGAACGTTATAGATACCTCGTCACATACCTACACAGCACACCACACGCTAGTTCACGGTTACACACACGTGCCTAGTCACTAGAGAGAAAACAAAGCTATTCAGTAGTTAAGCCACTTTTGGTACAATTGCAAAATAGAGAGATACTGTATATCAAACAGATTTTGTCATACCTTTTTTTTTTACAGGTCGTTACAAACAATGCAAAGATAATTGTCTTTATAAAATTCCAGACTCTACCATACATAGACAAAGATTCTTTTAAGTATAGAACACCACATAAGACTAATTTTTCTGGTAAAACTCGAGTGAAATGACATCCCATTTATGTGACTGAAAATTCAGAGAAATATCTCTGCCAGCAGACTGCATTATGAGTAATCACATTTGCACTTGCAAAGTGAGCTTTGTGGTTAAAAGCAAGAGGAATGCAACCTAAACTGCTTTGATTTGAAGCAAGACATTTTTGCAGTGGGTATAACAACCTAGATTTATGAGTTAGTAACCTAGTCAAAAACATGTGAACCAAGTAATTCACATAAAACAGATATATAGACATTACCCTTTCCAAAAAGCATATACTGTGCAAGAAAATGAACGATAAATGACTCCTGATGAATGCTCCTGTTTTGCAGACCCCTCTTGTTTTTTCTTTGAGTAAATGAACCAATGAACCAAGTCACATAAATGGGTGTTAATATTAATATTAATAATCCTGATGGGTACTACACAGCTCATACGACGATGCACACCGAGAGTTAAATGCTGCCACAACCTGATTCCTGATTGGTCAGTGTATCCCATTAAGCACAGGTATAAGCACTTGCATTGAATCTTCACAGTTCATGTCCTCTTGACTTCTTCCTGATGCATATCATTAGGAGACCAAGGCACTTGCCCTTTCAATTTTCTTGAATATATTTTTGAGAGGAACTCAAACAGACAGAAGACAACTTTATCTTACTTCCGCTCCGGTGTTCGAATGACCATTTCCCTGAAAATTCTTATAAACTGAGATAACGTCAGTGACTTTTTCAGTTTCAGTAACTTCATCTCCTTTTCTCTACAGTGTTGTTTTTTTTGTTTTGTTTTTTTGGTAAATATCAATTGCCTTTTCCCCCCTCTCTCTGTTAGATCCAGGAAGTACTGTGTGTAATAACTGGAAACCAGTTGGAATTGAAAAATGGAAGGACAGAGAAAGAATACGTCAGAGAAAGAGAGTTGGACATAGAAAGTGAAGAGACCGTAGAAAAAATACAACTAACTAAATATAGCAATACCAAAACGAACACGCGCCACAGAATTTCACAGAATTCCTGATATATAACAATTGACACACAGAATACACTTTGGACCTCATGTGAATGACAGCACAGTACAAAACAGTAGAAATACAGGTACCACCATTGTGTAATATATATTTTTCTATAGTACTTTTTTGAAAACGTTCTTGGCTGGGTGGAGCAAGATGGAACTCCTCTGCAGCCACTGAAATCAGCAGGTCACAAGAAATCTATTCTTTTGGAGTTCAGGAGTACCGTTCTTCTGATTCTAATAAATATGTAATACATGGTTTCAAATGTTTTTGTGGATCTAGCAAATTTAAATGTTCTACATTTTGGTTTAACGACTACTTCAAATGTATTGTGCAAATGTGTGACAGGATTATTATGCATTTACAGATATCTAGAGATCTACCAGCAGTAAAACTCGACACCGAACATTTGACTAACGTAAACGGAACTGAACAAAATTGCATGTTTTTTCCAAAGTGTTTTGGGCGTTTATGTTTTATGATTTTTTTTTCCTAGCCTGGAATAAAACTAATCTCAAATTCTTTGACTCTTCCAGGCTTTCAGTGACCGTAGGAACTCTGTGTATCTGTCCTGTGCTAAATGATCATGCGCTGACCAAGGGCTGGCTTCTTTGTAGTCTCAATAATCTTCCTCTGCTTCCATTCTTTCCTTCACCTGCACTGATCTGAGAGACAGGTGATGGGAACATGCTGAGGCCATGTGATCGAGACTGCCCAGCTGTTTGAAGTCAGTGCAGGTGGAGGAGAGGCGGCTGGCAGAGAAGAAGAATTACTCTGTTGCAGCTGAACTCCACCCTCATCTATCTTTCCCTCCCTCAAGACCGTGCATCTGTTTTTGACTTCACTATTGTGATCACGCTTGTCGCTGTTGCCACCTTTCCCGGTATGAGTGGACCAATGACTGACGACGGCACCCCTCCCCCTCCTCCCCCTCCTCCAGCCCTAACCCCGACCCCGACAGTGGGGCTCCGTGCCACAGTCCTGGCGAACGTCTGTAACGCCTCGTACTTAGACCTCAGAGCGTCCAGCTCAACGCGCATGGAAGCATTCTCATTGGCCAGTTTGTCCACCTCCTGCTGCAGCTGGGCCTTCTGCTTCTCCAGCTCCTCCTTCTGGGTGACTCTCTTCACCCGGCAGCTGGCGGCATAGCCCCGGTTCTTCAGGGTGCGCCGCCGTTGCTTCAATTGCAGGATCTCCTCTTTGGAGAGCCCACGGAGGTGCTGATTCAGCTCCCGCACTGACATGGTCACCAGCTCATCGTCTGTGAGGCTGGTGCCATTCTCCCCCGGCTCGCGCTTCACCTGGAGGAAACAGGAGGAGGAAGGGGAGTGAGACACACAGAACATATCAAAACCAGAGAATTCACAGAAGAAAAAAAGCACTCTCTTACCTTCAGGGCTTTATTTCCTTTGTTAGTCGTCGTCATGCCACAAGAGCCTTGCTCTTCTGAACAGATCTATGGAGACGCAAGCAAGTACAACACATGAGCAAAGAAACATCATAAAAGACTTACGTTCTGCATAAAACCAGTTAACAGAGTAACAGCATTAAAGAAAGAGAACCATCACTGTGTTTAAGGACGATAACGGTTCTTAAGGTTTAATAAAAACATAATGTCAATACCCACCTGAACCAGTATAGACATACCAAACTGAAATCTGCTGTTGGAGCACTGTTGTGTGAACATGTTAAAGTAATACACATTTGTGCCACAGTGCATGAGTGAAAGTGACAAACAAACTTTTCTTAGAATTTCCCTGACTTCCTGTTTCCTGGTGGTTACACTGACAGTGCCCACTACCTTTGTGTTGTTGAACTCTTATTGGTTGGCTTTAAGCCAATAGGAATGAAATGAACGTGAGAGAAGAGGAAGTGGTACAATTTGTGGGAAGGACTCCAGGGGAAAACCAACTGTTAGAGGCCTCACACACACACACACAACCACACACACACACACACACACACACACCTTAACTGAGACTAGCATAGAGACTGGGGAGAAGTAGAAAAATAGATGTAGACTGTAGACCTACTAGGGATAACATTGAAGGCAAAGCGAATCGAATGATGTATACGCATTTGTACCAAAGTTGCCACAAGAGACAACAGGACGGAGACAAAACAGTGTGAATCAGAAGTCAACAAAGAGGGAGCCTGGAAGTGCAAAAGATGAGATCAGTCCTTAGAGCGCACAGCTCCACAGATGAGCATCTCCACAAGCACTCAATGAGATGCTTTGTATGGTGCGTTGGTCTGGCTCTCATCTCTCAGACCTGTGTGTGTGTGTGTGTGTGTGTGTGTGTGTGTGTGTTCGATAAAGTGCAGCTATTGTTACTGCTGCTGAGCGATCATCATGAGACCAGTCATGATGACTCAGCAGATTCTCTCTCTCTCTCTCTCTCTCTCTCTCTCTCTCTCTCTCCTCTACTGCCATTTTTTTTCGGCTCTCCTCCCCCTTTACCCCCCCTTTTTGCACCCTTACAACCCTCTAACTCCTTCCCTAAAAGATGAGGGTTTGCCCAAAATATAGCTGCAGGCTAGAAAAGCCTACGGGGCATGAGGGGGGTCAACAACATGTGACTGGCTGTCTAACATACAGTGAAATGTGGTTGTAGACACACCTGATACTGCTGAATCAGAAGTTCAGTTAAACCAATTTGCTGATTAAAGACAGCCTGTTATCATCCTGTATGTATTTATACTGTCTGATGTATTTCACACCAAGGCCAGTTTAAAAAAACTAAGGAGCAGATTTGAAAGTAAGTTATAGTATAAGTCATCATTTAAAAAACTGTGATGGCTTTTAAGTGACATCTGTCTGTTAAGGTGTGTGTTCTCGTTTCATTCTTACCCTTTTCTATCTAAAGGCCCAGCACTGAGCGCAGCAGAGAGCCTCCCTCACAATGCACCTCTGTCTGTCTGTGAAGGTGCGCTAGTGTTTGTGTGAGCGTTGCCACAAAACCTACAGTTATAAATAGCTGCAGATCAAAGAAAAAACGTACGCTGCAAGCACGTACAAGTGATCATGCATGCACAACACACATCAAATGTACACCAACTCAAAACTAAAAGATGTAATGAAATTATGAAGTAGATGAGAAAAGAGCAATGATATACTATGCTAAAACGACAGCACTGCTTCATGGGGGGGGGGGGTTTATAGACTGCCTTTCATTTAACTGTGTATATTTAGAGCTTCTTTCTCAATAAACAAATGTCTTCCATCCTTGTGTGCCACTGCAGTCTTGTGTTTTGTTGGGATGCAGCCTCCCCCAGCTGGAGGTGCATCATCGCACAATAGATGGATCAAAGACTTGAAGACTGGGGGTGGCTGTTGGGGGTGGGGGCGCTGATGAGAGGGGAGAAAGGGAAAACAGAGGGGGCAAAAAGGAGGCTTTCCTGCCAGGCACTGGTTTATTTCCCCTGTGTCCCCCCCCCCCCCCATCTACATACAAACAAAAAGCAAGCACACATACACACATACATATTCCCCTGTCGCCATGCCAGTGGCGCACAATAAAACACACACATAAAACGGTCGACTGCAAGCACACAAACATGAACATGTAGTTATGTTTAAAGTACTAAACAATGCTTGATGCGTGTGGAAATTAAAATTGAACATAATGTACTGTAGATGCATAGCTCAGAGGTTTTGTTCCATACTTGACAACATAATTAAAATGTTAGGGAATCTTTAGTTATCTTAGATAAAAGCAACCAACAAATCAAACTACTGCAGGTGCAAGAAAGGTAGTTATCATAGAATTTATATCCATATAGATACAGCTCCTTCCTGATCAAATGTCTATCTGTATTATACCATCACTCATCCAATAAAGGCAGAAATGCCCAACATTTTAAATTTCTGCCTGTTGTTTTTTTTGATTAAGTGATTGTTAGACCTATAAAATGTCAAACTAATACTGAAAAATGCCCATCTCAACTTCCCAGAGCATAAAGTCTTCAAATTGCTTGTTTTAAGATATCATTATTTTTATTATTATATAGAGGCCTATCATGTTCACATTTGGGGAGCTGGAACCAATTAATTTTTGGCACTTTTGCTTAAAACATGAAATTGATTATCAAAACTGTAATTTACTTGCAAATGACAAATCGACTAACTGTTTAAAGGTCCAGTGTGTAACATTAAGGAGGATGGGATATTGGCAGAAATGGAATATAATATGAATAACTGTGTTTTCATTAGTGTATAATCAAGTGAAAATAAGAATCATTATGTTTTTGATACCTTAGAATGGGAGGATGAAGCGAGAGAGTTGGGACCATTAAGCTCTAATTGGTGAACATCTACTTTATTATCATAGTAGTTATAGCTAGAGTGGTGGTAGTTGTGGCGTTAGTAGTATATCCTTGTGGAGCAGGACAGAACAATAAGTTTGGGGCTTGTTTCATCAAGGTTAGACAACAACAAAACTGACCTACACCACAGCATAAAACTGCAATAAACTAGTTTGTGTGTGTGCGTTCAAGCCGTGTGTAAGTCACCCAGGTTAAAGATCATCTGCTGAGCAAAGGCATCGCTATTCATCTTAGACGTACACACCCAGACACACATATACACATGCGCACACACAAAGTGCCAGAGGTGTCCTTCCCATAATGCTTGCAGGGGTGGTCGCTGCGGTGTGGTCAATGCCACAGCCACTGTTGCTACAACAGACAGCTTTTTTGCTGTGGCAGGCTGTATTTTTATGGAGCAACCAAAAGAACGCTGACAACTCAAGAGCAGAGCTGCTTACGGTTACAGTGGAGACAACACACACACACACACACACACACACACACACACACACACACACACACACACACACACAGGGGAGGAGGCATGGGGACAGGGATGGGAGAAGAGGTGAGAAGTGGTGGAGATGAATAAAATACAGCTATGAGAGAAGAAAGATAAGCCAGCGAGGAGAAAAGAGGGCGAGGAGTTGGTAGGATAGCAAGGTGAAGACAGACTAGGTAAAAAAGGAGGAGAAGGGGGAGTCAGGGGGGTGCTGCTGGTGGTGAAGGAGGACTGAAAGAATGCTGACGTCTCCAGAGCTGATTAGCGTTACAGCGGAGACATCACACCCACAACCAAGAAAAATGCTGAGTATGGAGGGAGGACGGGTGGGGGGGTGCAAATGACAAGGGAGAAAGAAGAGAGGAAAAAGAGAGAGGCAAGTGAGCAGGGAGGAGCGGCAGAGGAGGAGGTGGGGGGGGAGGTGGGGATGGAGGGAGGAATGGCGATGAGGAGGAACAGGATGGGGGGGGCGTTTGGGTGAAAATGCATCCTCAACACATTTGTAAGAGCTTAGCTGTTGGGTACGGAGGGGTGGGGGGGAGGGAGAGGACCAGGGAGGGAGGAATGGATAGAGGGGGATTGGGGTAGAAAAAAAACCTGAACTCAGCATCGACCACGACTAAAACCTCCAATTAGAAAAGTTCTAAAGCTGATCCAGTGCAATGAAACTAGTGCTGACCATCTCTCTCTCTCCCTCAGACCTTCTGCTCCCTGTCTCTCTCACTCTTTCACACACACACACACACACACACACACACACACACACACACACACACACACACCCACACACACACAAAAAAGCCTCACATCATCTCTTGTTGACAAATCAAGTCCCGGAAAAAGGATGAAAACGAGAGTAATCGTGTGGCAGAAGGTGAACACAGTTATCACAGGGCTTATAAAGATAGATTAAAGAGTGCAAGAAACTGCACAAGACATACAGCACGACTCCTTTCTCTTCATGTAGTGCAGACAAGCCGGATGATGTGTGTCTGTGTGTGTGTGTGTGTGTGTGTGTCTGTGTGTCTGTGTGTCTGTGTGTCTGTGTGTGTGTGTGTTGTGTGTGTTTGTGTGGCTGGCATCAGATAGACTTCTAATTAATCTTGTTTGAGAGAACCTTTTGCTCCAGCCACTACCGCCGCACAGAGAGGAATTTCTTAGAAAGAGACTTCCTACTTAAAATCTGGTGGCATGTGGCACACACACACACTCACACACACACACACACACACAAGGAAAATAAATAGCCAGATTAAGCACTTCAAAAATGACCTGGGGGCTGGTGTGTGTGGGTGTACACCAGCATAAACAAGCTAGCACAGAGAGAATGATCAAGAATAGATTGTAAGAGTCACAAGTTGTTTGTGATGCAGTGGCAAGTCTGTCTTTATTGAATAATCCCAACATAACAACTGCCTTGACTGCGCCTCCTCCCTCAGGCAGCTCTCTGAGCAATAATGGAGAACACAAAGGATAGCAGCCGAGTGAGGCAGTGAAGACGCGTGTTAAGACACAGAGAGGACATGATGGAAAGACATAAAGAGAGCATAAATGTAGGGAGAGTGAATTTAAACCTCAGAGCGAGAGACTCTGCTCCTGGCTGCAGTCCACCTTGCCTTTTCTAAAGAGAGAAGGAGCTCTGGCTCATTGATCTAGTGTGGGCTGAGGGTGTTGAGGGAGTTGGTAAATAATTAACGACGAGCGCTGGGTGGAGGCTAATTGAGAATTAGGAATCAGATCGGTGATAATGGCAACCTGTATATAGAGAGGGGGCAGGCTCACAGTGGAGATACAGGGCCATGGAGAGTGGGTGAGGAGACACCAGTTTGAACTGTGTGTGTGTGTGTGTGTGTGTGTGTGTGTGTGTGTGTGTGTGTGTGTGTGTGGAGAAAGAGCAGGAAGCTATTAACTGGGAAGTATGCAGAGCGTGAAATAAGCATGATAACACAGACAGAGAGGGGAGCAGAGGAGATGGAGAAAACACAAGGAAAGTGAAAGTCTGGCCCCTAATATACATATTATAATATATGGAGAGAGAAGAGCGATCACTTTCACACTTTTCTGAGAGTTCAAAAAGGGTATTGTGTGTGTGTGTGTGTGTGTGTTGTGTTTGCGCAGGCTGTTTAAGTGTGCGCGAGACAGTGTTTGTGTAAGTGTGTTATTAAAGGCGAGAAAAAGTCCTGGCGTCGACACGTTTTTCCCATTCCAGGTAGTAAGTCGGAGTGTGATGACAAATTTCCCAACACAAGCAAAAAAACTGCACTGTCAGGCGATTGAGCTCTGGCTCCTTTTTTTTCATAAGTGCTATTTTTTTTTAAAGAGGAGAGAAAAACATGTACCATAAGGTTAAGTTTGGTTCTCTCTTTGTGTGCAAATAACAAACAGAGGGCTGTGAGGGAGAAAGCGATAAGTTAACAGCATGTTAGGTTTACTTCCCCCAGACGCTGTACATCCCATAGAATACTAACTTGAGACAAAGAGAAAGTTTTGGTGCAGCAGCAAAGTAAGAATGCTGCAGTCATCATCATCAGTCACATTAATGAGGAAACACAATCAGAAACCTCTTGAAAAACATTTAAGAACAGAAATGAACAAAGGGACATATG